TTTTTTTTTTTTTTTTTTTTTTGTTCTTTCATTTTACTCATTACTAAGTATCATAGAATATGCATTCCTCTTTTAAAAACTTATAAAAGCTGCTCAACATCATTAGTTATTAGAGAAATATGAATCAAAACCACAATGAAGTACTACTTTATGCCCACTGGGGTGGTTATACAATAAGTATTGGCAAGGATGTGGAAAAATTGGGACCCTGGTGCATTGCTGGTGAGAATGTGAAATGGTACAGCTGCTTTAGAAAACAGTTTGGTAGACTAGGTGCAGTAGCTCATGCCTGTAATTCAGCGTTTTGGGGGACCAAGGCGGGTGGATTACTTAAGGTCAGGAGTTTGAGACTAGCCTGGCCAACACGTTGAAACTCCGTCTCTAATAAAAATACAAAAATTACCTGAGAATGGTTGGTGTATGCCTGTAGTCCCAGCTACTCAGGAAGCTGAGGCAGGAAAATCGCTTGAATCCAGGTGGCGGAGGTTACAGTGAGCCAAGATTGTGTCAGCCATTGTACTCCAGCCTGGGTGACACATTGAGACTCTGTCTCAAAAAATAAAATAAAATGAAATAAGATAGATAAGGTAAAATAAGTAAAATGCAATTTGATATTTCCTCAATAAGTTAAACATAGAGTTACTGTATGACCCAGAAATTCTACTTCTAGATATGATACCCAAGGGAATTTAAAACGTCTACACAAAAACTTACACAAGAATGTTTATAGCAGCACTTTTGATAATAGCCAAAAAGTAGAAAAAACCCAAATGTCTATTGGCTGATGAATGGATAAAGTATTGGTATATTCATACAATGGAATATCACTTGGCAATAAAAAGGAATAAATCCCTGATACATGTTACATGATGGGTGAACCTTGAAAACATTATGCAAAGTCAGATAACAATAACTCATAAAAGACCACATGTTATATGATTTGGTTTATATGAAAGGTCCAGAATAGGAAAATCCATAAAGATAGAAAGTAGATTAGTAGTTTCCAGGGGAGGAGAGGATCATATGACGAGTCACTGCTAATAGGTATAGGGTTTCTTTGAGGGTGTAGATAATGACAATAGCTGTGCAGTTTTGTGAATATACTGTAAACCACTGAATTGTACACTTAAAAGAGTTAATTTTATGTTCGTCAATTATATATCACTTCAAAAAGTATAACAAACAAAACTTATACAGCAACTTTGATAAGAATGTCCTGTATTACTGATATGTATTAGGTTTCAACCCTTCAGAGACCAAGATTCGAACACCTGACGGGAAAGTGTGGCAGGAGGCTGAGTTTCAAAACATGAGTAGAGAACTGTATCGAGACTTAGCACTTCACTTTGCAGGTGAGAATAGAGCTTTCTTATGTTTTGAGTATTTTGTCATACATGCTGTGCAATTTGTAATATTTACACATAAAATTGTCACCAAACTAACAATATTTTCTTTCTCTAACTGCCTGGTATACTGAAGCTGTGGTGGTTTGAGACATAAGGCTCTCTTAGCCTCTAGGCTCAGCTCCAGGGTTAAAATTAGCCTACATGATTAATGAGACAGAAACTAGGCTATTTTTAAACTGAGGGACTTTCAGAGTTGGGACTGCTTGATTTGAAGGAAACGTAGCAAAATTTAGTTGAAGTTTACCTCTGCTTAGGTGTCTGAGATCTTTGAAGTAATAAGCAATTTGGGAGGCAGCAGATAAGATATTTATATGAGAGCAAGATACAAAAAAAAAAAAGTATGATAGGAAGGGATTAAGTTAGGAATTAGAAATAAGAGGAACCCATGGAAGACTGAAAGAGGGTAATAGGAAGGTTATACTAATAATAGTACCACCTACCGAATAGTATGAGCTTGGGCAAGATGCTGAGTGGTCTTTTGCTTTTTTTTTTTTTTTTTTTTGAGATGGAGTCTCACTCTGTTGCCAGACTGGAGTATAGTGGCATGATCTGGTCTCACTGCAATCTCTGCCTCCCAAGGTCAAGCAGTTGCCCTGCCTCAGCCTCCCAAATACCTGGGACTACAGGCATGCACCACCACACCCAGCCCTTTTTTTGTATTTTTTAGTGGAGACAGAGTTTCACCATGTTGGCCTAGGTGGTCGAGATATCCTGACCTCGTTACCTGCCTGCCTCAGCCTCCCAAAGTGCTGGGATTACAGGCGTGAGCCACCGCACCCAACCGGTGTTTTGTAGTTCTTACAGCTGAAGAAATAGAGGTTCAAAGAGTAATTTTCTTAGGGTTGGATAGAGTAGTTGAGAATTGAAGCCAAGATTCAAAACTAACTCTGATTCTAAAATTGAGGTTTTTATAGTAAGCCCTCATAAAGCTTCTGGTAATACATTTCTGTGGCATTAAGTGTCCAGTCCAGTTTTCTTGCTATTATTATACAACACTCTGTTCAGAAATTTTTTCTCATGTGGAAAGGAAGAATAATGCAATTGTTAAGGGCAGAGATTTTGGAGTCAGCTTTCAAGGGTTCCAGTTCTGGCTCTGCCGCTTATTAGCTATGTTACATAACTTCCTTTTCTTGGTTTTCTCATCTGTGAAATAGGAATAATAACAATATACCTGATAAGATAGTATCATTATAGACTAGTAGAATATGTCAAAAGACTTTTACATTCTGCGTTCTCTTTTGTTATGGTAGATGAACTGTGATGTTCCTAGCCAAGACTAACCCATCTACTTGCCTTTTAGATTCCATTTGATCTTGTGTATTTAAAGATGTTACTTCAGCCTTATTTCCTTTTTTTTTTTTTTTTGCATCATCAAGTTTTCCCTCTACCAGATCATGCTCATCAACATACCATGTGATAGCATGCTGTTATAGCAGCCATTGTAAAAGAACCCCTCATTTGGCCTTGCTTTTCCCCAGCTGCTGCCCTGTTTCTTTCTTGTTTTCAGCAAAACCACAAAACGTTGCTTTATGCTCATTGCCTCCAATTTGTCTTCTCTCTTTCTCTTAAATTCTTTCTATAGGTGTTTGTCCCTATTTGTCAAGATCATTGGCTGGGCGCCATGGCTTACACCTGTAATCCCAGCACTTTGGGAGGCTGAGGCAGGTAGATCACAAGGTCAGGAGATTGAGACCATCCTGGCCAACACGATGAAATCCTGTCTCTACTAAAAATACAAAAATTAGCTGGGTGGAGTGGCATGTACTTGTAATACTTGGGAGACTGAGGTAGCTACTTAGGCGGCTGAGGCAGAATTGCTTGAACCAGGGAGTCCGAGGTTGCAGTGAACCAAGATTGTACCACTGCACTCCAGCCTGGCGACAGAGTGAGACTCTGTCTCAAAAAAGAGAAAAAAAAAAAGATCATCAATGACTTCCACATTGCTAAATGCAATATTTAATACTAATTCGTTATCTTGATCTCTCAGCAGCATGATCGATCACTTCTTTGAAACTGTTCGCTTGACATCTAGAATACTATAAGTATCTGGTTTTTCTCATAAGTCTATTCTTTTTCAGTTGTTTTTTTTCCTAATCATATGGATGCCCCGGCCTCAGTCCTCAGTGCTTGGGCAGGCAGGCAGGTTGGCTTGCTTTCTTTCTCCTCTCTCTCTTAAAAAAAAAATTTTTTTTTCATTCCTTACCCCTTCCTTTTCTTCCCTTTCTTTCATTTTCTCTCTTTCCAGTCCCCCTCCTTCTACTCACCCTATTTTTCCTTCTTTATTTCTTTATTTTTTTTTTACACTTATCTATATGCATACAAGGCAGATTTATCTAGTCTCATGGCTTTAAATGTTCTCTGTTGCTAATGATTCCCACAATAATGTCTTTAGCCCACACTTTCCCTCTGAACTCACTTATATGCAGCTGCTACTTCCATATCTCCCCTTGGTTGTATAATAGATCTCTCAACCTTAATATATCCAAAATGGAACTAACTAAATAAATGTGGTCATGTTATACCCCTTAAACCTGTTGCTCTGGTAGTGTCTCCATGTTAGTTAATTCTATCCCTATAATTGTTCCAAATCTTGTCATTCTTGAATATCACACCCTCATCTCATATTTTGTATGTAATATTGTCCGAAATATACTTAGAATATAGTCACTTTCACCACCTCTCTCACCTCCGCCTAGATCAAAGCCACCATCAGTTTCTTATCTGGATTACTCTGTTAGTCTCGTCTCTGGTCTCCCTCTATCTGCTCTTCTTCTAATGAGTCTATTGTCATCACAGCTTGCTAAAATTTAATTTGGATCGTGTTGCTCCTTTGTTCATAATCTCTTAACAACCTTCCATCTCACTCTTGAGTAAAATCTGAAATTCTTACAATGGCCTACATAGCCCTACAGGATCTAGCCCTTAGTTATGTCTCTGACCTTAGTTCCTATTATTCTCCCTCACACTGACCTGCTTGCTTTTTTTTTAGGTACTAGGTATGCTCCTGCTTTAAGGTCTTTACTTATACTTACTTCCACTCTGTCCAGAATGCAGAACTCCACCTATATTTTAAACCACATTTATTCTGATCCGTAATTGAGGCTAATTTTTGAAACTTAACGTGTGTAATCAGTGTATTTCTGCAAGTTGGATTTTTTAAAAAGTAGTGAGTAATAATGTACATATAAAATACTTTATATGTTTCACTAGCATTATCATAAAGAGACCCTAATTTAATAATATTATATTGAGTATCTTGTAAAGTTTTTATATAGAAATTTCTAAATGAGATAGGAATCTGTGAGAGTGTTCACCTCTGAGATTCTATAAAATGCAGTGATCCTGACTTGGAAATCTTTTGTGAAACTAGGTAAATTTCTCAAGAGTTTCCTAGAAGAATAAATAAATAACAAAGAATTGGAACCCAGCAGTGGAGTAGTGGTAATCTTTAGATTTTTCCACATCCTTTTTTCCATATAAGGAGTTGATGTTGGTATTATACAGGCTGTAGAAATAGCCTCAATGTAGGTTTCTTTTTCCCTACCTGCAGCATATACTTTATACTGATTTTTCCTATGGTGGGGGGAGGATAAGTGAGTGAGAATCATTGTTATATTTGCTGTAAATGTTTCTGTATTTCAGATGATGTTTCTGTAAAGGAGAAACCTGCCGAAAAAAGTAAAGAGAAGAAAGTAGTCAAGCCAGTACGAAAAGTCCAAAAAGTAGCACAGTTATCAAGTACAGAATGCAAAACAGGTTAGTTTTCTCAATAACATGTCCATCCCTTTTTAAAAAAAAATTTTTTTTTGTAATTATACTTTAAGTTTTGGAATACATGTGCAGAACGTGCAGGCTTGTTGCATAGGTGTACACATGCCATGGTGCTTTGCTGCACATCATGAACCCGTCATCTACATTAGGTATTTCTCCTAATGCTATCCCTCCTCTAGCCCCCGTCCCCCAACGGGCCCTGGTGTGTGATGTTCCCCTCCCTGTGTTCATGTGTTTTCATTGTTCAACTCCTACTTATGAGTGAGAACATGCGATGTTTGGTTTTCTGTTCCTGCCTTAGTTTGCTGAGAATGATGGTTTCCAGCTTCATCCATGTCCCTGCAAAGGGCATAAACTCATCATTTTATATGACTGCATAGTATTTCATGGTATATATGTGCTACATTTTCTTTATCCAGCCTGTCATTAATGGGCATTTGGGTTGGTTCCAAGTCTGGCTATTGTGAAGAGTGCTGCAATAAATATACATGTGCCTGTGTCTTTATAGTAGAATGATTTCTAATCCTTTGGTTACCTACCCAGTATGGGATTGCTGGATCAAATGTCATTTCTGGTTCTAGATCCTTGAGGAATTGCCACACTGTCTTCCACAATGGTTGAACTAATTTACACTCCCACCAACAGTGTAGAGAAGCATTTCTTTTTCTCCACATCCTCTCCAGCATCTGTTGTTTCCTGACTTTTTAATGATCGCCATTCTAACTGGCATGCCTTTCTCTAATGACCAGTGATGATGAGCTTTTTTTCATATGTTTGTTGGCTGCATAAATATCTTCTTTTGAGAAGTGTCTGTTCATATTCTTTGCCCACTTTTTGATGGGGTTGTTTTTTTTCTTGTAAATTTGTTTTTAGTTCCTTGTAGATTCTGGATGTTGTTAGCCCTTGTCAGATGGATAGATTTCAAAAATTTTCTCTCATTCTATAGGTTGCCTGTTCACTCTGATGATAGTTTATTTTGCTGTGCAGAAGTTCCCTAGTTGAGGTAGATCTCATTTGTCAACTGTGGTTTTTGTTGCCATTGCTTTTGGTGTTTTAATCATGAAGTCTTTGTTCATACCTATGTCCTGAATGGTGTTGCTTAGGTTTTCTTCTAGGGCTTTTATGGTTTTAGGAATTACATTTAAGTCTTTAATCCATCCTCATATAAAGTTACATATTACTGTTAGCAAATATTCTCATTGTTTGGCACATATAAAAATTTAATACATTTATGTATCAGTGTGTGTGTGTGTGTGTGTGTGTGTGTGTGTGTGTGTGGTTAAGGTGTAATTGACATAAACTGGACATATTTAGAATATATAGTTTGATACATTTTCATAGTTTTATACATCCATGAAACCATTTGTTCACCATATGTTCATCAAGATACTGAACACATCTGTGATCCCCTCAATTTTTTTCTATGATTATTTTTAATATAAGTTAACCAGATTAAAGGTAATTTTTATGTGGTGAACTTTTCTATACAAGGGGATTGTTTCTGACTGTCACCAGTTCCTTTGACTTATTCTCAAAAAATAAATTTTGCACGTCAGAACTATGATGTTTCATACCAGTATTGGTCAGGTGGAACTCTGAATAGCTCAGGAATGGAAATAAGAATTCTCTAGTTCCATGACATTTTGGCCCTCATCCAAAGTGCCCAGATTTGTAACTAGCTTTGTTCCTTTGGTAAATGAGCTAATTTTAGTGTTCCTTGGTTTTCCCATATGTAAAGTGGGAAAGCAGTATTATTTATCCCACAGGGTTGTTGTGAGAACTAGGAGTGAATACCCAAAAGCACTCATTATAATGCCTGGTATATGATAAGCACTCTACTGTTAGTATGACTCCATTAATAATAGTAATTATTATTTCTGCCTATATTGAAAATGGCTATTTGGAATGTCATATTCATCTCAGTAATTTGGGCCAAGAGAATGGAGAAAGTTGGGACCTGTCACTTTTGGTCTGGAGACATTCTAAATTAATTAATTCATTATACAAGTATTAATATTTTTGAGCATTTGTTATGTGAGGCACTGTTCTGTACTAAACTTAGACAATATATTGATAAGCAAGATGCGTCTAGCCCCTGCCTTCATGGAGCTTATAGTCTTGTCAGGAAGTAGTAGATACGTTGTTATAATAAAGTATGATGAGTGCTGCAGTAAGAGGTCACGAGGTATTATGAGAATGTCAGGGCAGAACTGACAGGGTACTGGTTTTTGATTGTTTTTCCAGTCAAACAGAATCAATAGAATGGCAGGTAACACATTTTGTGACACTCATTGTTAACTTTAGGTGTCAGAGTGACACTGGCTATATACAGATAAAAAAATAAAATGTTACAATAAACAAGTTATCTGAGCATTAACAATTATATTTTATTTATTTACTTATTTTTGAGACAGAGTCTTGCTCTGTCACCCAAGCTGGTGTACAGTGGCACAGTCTTGGCTCACTACAACCTTTGCCTTTTAGGTTCAAGTGATTCTTGTGTTTCAGCCTCCCGAGTAGCTGGGATTACAGGCATGTGCCACCATGCCCAGTTAATTTTTGTGTTTTTAGTAGAGACAGTGTTTTGCCATGTTGGCCAGGCTGGTCTTGAACTCCTGGCCTCAAGCAATCCATCTACCTTAGCCTCCCAAAGTGTTGGAATTACTGGTGTGAGCCATCATGCCCAGCCAATAATTACATTTTTAAAAAGTATTATGTTTCATGTGTCATTATTAACATTATGTAATACTGTTGCCGGAGGCATAGTTTGAAATGAAGCACAGGAACCACTAATACTTATGAATGCTAATATTGGATTGTATTCATCCAGTTTTGTGGTAGGCCAGTTCTCATGTATGCACTGTGACAATGAGCTAGAGAGTCATTAAATGTGCTAAAGCTGTATTAATAGTTTATGTAGTGAAAATCCTGTTTTTTTTTTTAACCAATGACTCTGTGTAACTGTTCCAGAAAGTTAGCATTTAGAAATAACTACTCAGCATATTCAGATGCCAACATTTATAAATAACTACCCAGTGTATTCATGGTTGCTTGTTTTTGATTCAGAAAATCAGGCTGAAATTAAAGAGAAGTCTGTTCTCTCATTTTACGTAAGAGCATAAAGTTTCTTATAAATAGATTGAGCAATGTACTTAAAACTCTTTAAATATTTTAGATAGACTGTATAAGGTTAATAACAAGGTGCAAAAACATTTATAAAGTAAACAGCACACATTATAACACACCTTTTTATAACTGATGTTTTTACTAAAATGATACTTCCGTTTAAACTTGTAAATTAAAGCCCTTTTTAAGGAAACTCTAAATGGAATGTCTTTTATTATAACGACAATAAAATAGCATCACAGACAGTTGGAAAAATAGAAGAAAACAGATAAACTCACAATCCAGACTTCAATAAAGAACTAGTATTATTCTGTATGTTTCCTTATATTCACTTTAAAATCGTTATAGTATGTGATGGTATTCACTGTATATACACATTTTTTGTATATGTAAAATTTCATTTTTTTGTTAGCATCTTTTCACAAGAACATTTCTATTGTTTCTTATGAAAATTGTCATTTGTAATGGTCATACAATATTCTATGTAGAAACAGTAACTGTTCACATTCTTCAGTATTTATTTACTTCTGATACTATAAAAATGATACAGTCAACATTTTCATTTATTTTTTTCTTTCTTTTAGATTATTTATATTGTATAAATTTCTGTTTATTGGATTATTGATCAAGGGGAATGAATACTGTTGGGGTCCCTGGACACGTAATCCCATGTTTGCTGTTTTTGTTTTTGTTTTTTTTTTTTAAAGAAACTATGCCCAATTATATTTCAACAAGTAATATATAAGCAGAATGATTTTATTATAATTTTACCAGCATTGGCTATTAATGTAAAAATGATTAAAATAATTTAATTAGACTTGAAGTGCTACTACATTATTTTCATTGTCATTCTATTTATTCCTTCATTTTCTTTCTTTTTTTGTGTTCTGTTCCTTTATTTTCTTTTCTCGTTTTGTTTCCTTCCTTCCCTCCTTCCTTCCTTCCTTCCTTCCTTCCCTCCCTCCCTCCCTCCCTCCGTTTCCTTCCTTCCCTTTCCCTTCCTTCCTTTCCTTCCTTTCCTTCTTTCCTTCTTTCCCTTCTTTCCCTCTTCCCCTTCTTTCCCTTCCTTCCCTTCCTTCCCTTCCTTCCCTTCTTTCCTTTCTTTTCTTTCTTTTCCATTTCACTCAGTTGCCCAGGCTGGAATGCAGTGGCATGATCATAGCTGACTGCATCCTTGAACTCCTAGGTTCAAGTGATCCTCCCACTTCAGCCTCCTGAGTAGCTGGAACTACAAACGCGCATCACTGTACCCAGCTAATTTTTTTTAATCTTAATTATTTGTAGAGACAGGGTCTTGTTATGTTTCCCAAGCTGGATTCGAACTCCTGGCCCCAAGCAGTCCTCCTGCCTCAGCTTCTCAAGGTGCTGGGATTACAGGCATGAGCTACCATGCCCGGCCTCTATTTCTTATATTACTTTGCATTTAAACACTTATTCCATGTTTATTTTTTAGTTTCTATTTTGAAAAGTCTTTTATTTCATTGTTTTTTTTTAAGTCACTGTCTATTTTGAGGTGATTGCTTAATTTTTAGTTTCTTAGAGTCCAAAGCTAGTCGATAAAAATCTTTTTTTTTCTCCTGGTAAACAGCTGTATTTATTGAAACACACTTATTTTTTTATGAATTTTTATGATGAGGGCCATTTAAAATGATTGTACTTTTTAAATGTTATTGTTTTGTACATAGAAAAGTAGTATGTACTTTTGGTACATACCTATAAAATATAATGTGAAGGTTCCTGTAGTATCATCCCCCTTCAAAAGTAATCACTGTTAACCCTGTAATATATTTCCTCAAAATTTTTTACATGTTCTTCGACTTTTTTTTTCCAGCAAACCAAACACTTGTATGATAAGACATATTTTTGTTGTGTCAAATTTGCTGCCTTAGTTCTTTTTTTTTTTTTTTTTTTTTTGAGATGGAGTTTTGCTCTGTTGCCCAGGCTGGAATGTGGTGGGATGTGATCTTGGCTCATTGCAACCTCTGCTTCCTGGGTTCAAGCGATTCTCCTGTCTCAGCCTTCCTAGTACCTGGGATTACAGGTGCCCACCACCACTCACTCCTGGCTAATTTTTTGTAGATTTAGTACAGATGGGGTTTGGCTACATTGGCCAGGCTGGTCTTCTGCCTTAGTTGTTGAGGTTTAAGAATCATTATTTGGCACTTAACTTTCAAAGCATTTTACACTTATTTCAGATGTTTGGGTAAATCAAGATATAAACAAATGGTTAACTGACTTGGGGTGCTTAAAGTTTAAAAATATCATTGTACTGTAAATCTTTTGACCTTGGCAGATGAGCATTAGATTAATAATAAAACCTGTATGGTTGAGTCAATATACTTCTTAGAATTAAAATTTAAATTTTAAATTCAGTGCAATGTATTTTTTTTTTAGGTGGTAGTCATCTTATAAGTACATCTTCTTGGCGAGATGGACAAAAATTAGTAAAGAAGATTCTGGGACCTGCACCCAGAATGGAACAAAAAGAGCGAAGAACAGCATCAAGTGACAGAGGTGGAAGAGAAAGAACTGCTAAATCTGGTAAGTAGCTGTAATTAAAATTATTGAGAAAACAATTAGTTGATATTAAATACTTAGAGAATGAAAAAGTACTCTTTAAGAATGTGTTAGGATTTTGCTTTATAATTTTGAATGTAGCTCAAAAAAGAAAAAATGTTCTATTGGGCTTATTTGTGGATAATATCTGCATGTAGGTGTTATGTTCATGTTTATGAAGAATTTGGTTTATGCTGTATTAATCACATTTAGCTGTCATTGTGAATATGAAAGTATTAGTTTAGTGAAATCATATTAGACTTTTAGGGATATTGGAGAGAATCAAGTCCAATCTGGTTCATCCCAACATATTCAAACAAACATGGACAAACATTCACAAGGTTGGATTTTTTTATTTGACAGATTAGGAAACAGGCTCCAAAAGAGAAGTGATTTTTCTCAAGGGTATATAGTCAGTGGGGGCTAGATTTGGTGGTGGAACTGTTTAGTTTGACCCTCAAGCCCACTGTTTTTCTCCTATCAAAGTTTCTTGAGTAAGTGCTATTTCAAATAACTGGTTACTTTTTCATGAACACTAAATTTGGGAAATGAAATATAAATACTCATATGCCAGTTTTTTTTTTGTTTTTTTTTTTTTTT